GAAATTTTAACGGAAGTACGTCACCACTACCCGTGGCATATAGTCTACTGGTAAGGAGTGTGCACCAATATCTAACAATACTGGGGAGAAAATACTTTAATCATTCATTAACTCCATCCAAATAAACCAGCATTTCGAAGAAACTTCAATATCAATGGAAAACATTTCTCTTCCCTCAACACTTCTGATAATTTGTATCTTATTTGAATCTTTTCTAGGTTTCAGGTAAGAATACATCTTTCCTCATCATTCTTCCATTCAACCTTTATTTCTACAGGTAAATCCCACTGAGCCTCGAGGACTCATTTACAAGAGAGACCTGATTTAACAAAGAAAGATGACAACAATGGACAACAGCAACAACAATAAACAGTTATAAAAAGTCATACTGCATTTCTTTTTCATCATATTTATTACAATGTAACATAACATGCTCTATTGTTTCTTCCTGGTCACAAAAGCCACAATTCCCTGTATTATTTTTCCCCATTTTAAACAGTGTCCTCTTCAACCCAGTGTGTCCAGTTCTGAGTCTTGATATTATTATATCTTCTCTCCTGTTTTTCCTCCCACTTCTCATTTCTCCTACTTTCCTTTGTATCTTATAAAACCATCTTCTTTTTTGTTCTTCCTCCCATTGTTTCTGCCATTTTTCCTTCAACTTTTTTTTGATGATAATCTTAGTTTCTAATCTACTTAAATTAATTTCCATATCAATATTACTATGTTTTGTGGCTTCTCTTGCTGCTTTATCTGCCATCTCATTTCCATTTACTCAGATATGTGCCGGTATGCACAAAAATTCTACGAGTCCCATATTTTGTATTCTGTACAGTGTTTGCTGAATCTCTAGAAGAATATCTGGTCTACCCTCTGAGTTACTGTTCTTTAAACTTTGCAATGATGAGCTGGAATCTGAACAAATTATTATTTTCAGTGGTCTAATATCCTCTATCCATTGTACTGCTAAAAGTATTGCAAGCATCCACCCCCACCGATAGTCTATCATTAATTTTTTTATTCATTGAGACAGAAAATTCTAGAATAACAAATGCTACTCCCGTCTTATCACTTAAACCAATCACTAGGGAGCACAAGCCAGTGTATCTCTTGTGCCGGTTCCAAGCCCGGGTAAATGGTGAGGGTTGTGTCAGGAATGGCATCCGATGTAAAACACTTTTGCCAAAACCATAATATGAGTTCATCAAAGTGAAACCATACCGGATCGGTCGAGGCCCGGGTTAACAACGACCGCCACTGGTGCTGTTGACAAACAGGGTGCCGGCGGAAATTGTGCTACTGTTAGTCGAAGACCACGAGGAGGGAAACGTGTCAGGAGACACAGGGGGAAGAGGAAAGTGAAGAATGTAGGACTGAGGGTTGCAACTCTAAATGTGGGGACAATGACAGGCAAAGGTAGGGAGCTGGCTGACATGATGCAGAGAAGGAAGGTAGATGTTCTATGTGACCAAGAGACCAAGTAGAAGGGCAGCAAGGCTCGCAGCATTGGAGCAGGGTTCAAACTGTTTTACTATGGTGTAGATAGAAAGAGAAATGGGGTAGGGGTGGTCTTAAAGGAGGAGTTGGCAAAGTATGTAGTAGAGGTGAAGAGAGTGTCAGAAAGGGTGATGTGTCTGAAGGTAGAAGTAGATGATCTGATGCTAAACAAACAAAGGGTCATTTTTGGGCGTTTCTAATGGCAAATTTTAACAAACTCCTCCTAGGGATTTTGAAGGATTACCTTGAAACTTGGTTAATATGCCCTTAACACATTGGAGACTAAAAGTTATCAAAAGTTTTTGGTTTTGTTTTGTTAAAGGGGTGTGGCCAGGCCTCAAAGTTGCGCTTCACGCCATAAATTTAAAAACGCTATAACTTTCACATTGAAAAACCAAAATGCACCAAACTTGGCATGACTCATCCCTGTTGGATGCCTGACGATCCACAGTGTCATATTTTGATGTCATCAAAGCCCTGCCCCCTCGGAACAGGAAGTCTATTTTTTTTACTTGGAATGCTCCCTCTTTGACACCCTTGACCTAATCAGGATGATCCTGTGTTAGAAGACAGATAAGATGGTCTGACTTGATTTAAAGTGCAAACCGTTTTTGCTGGAAGATGTGGGCGTGGCGAATCAATAAGTGACGCTGTTGCAATACGTTTGGCTCTAAATTACAAAGATTTGAGCCGAGGTGTACCAAAATCACTATGATCGATCATGATCCACCTCTTGAACAGTGGTCCATGATAAGTGGCCAATAGCCTCCACATCGCCACCTACATTCTTCCTACAGTTATATCTCAGTGATACAACATCCGATCTGAACCAGATTTTTGGTGCATCATTAGTGAGCACTTATGGACACATTGGTATTGTTCTTTAACATTTGACTCAAATGCGCCCCCTAAATTATTCCAATAGTTATATCTCAGTGAATTATCATCTGATCGGAACCAGATTTTTGTTGCATAATCGGTTAGCACATCTAAACACATTGATATTATGGTTTAACATATGACTCAAGTGCGCACCCTCTCATACTGATATGGGCGGAAGGAGATTGCAAAGTTTAGGCATATGCGCACCCTGGTGGACGCGTGCGGAAATGGAATGAGAGCACTCGCAACGGCGACTGGGAGGTGTTGCTGGAGCGTCCGCGGTCGCGGCTGACGTCGAAGGTTTGGCGAATGCGCACTCTGGTGAAAGGGCGTGGGACAGGAGCGGGAGCGTTCACGACTGGGCGGAGTCGACGGAGCTCACGCGGTCGCCTTAAGGCCGGAGCGGCACTTTGCTGCGAGGGCCTTCAATGCTGCTTGCAGTTTTAATTAGTTTAAAGGTTACAGGTTATGCAGTAACCTGGTCTGTAGTACCTCAGTAGTCAGTGCTGTGGTCTTTTAAACTTCTGTTTCCAGCCCAGGTTGAATCAGGAACTGGTCATTCTTCATGTGTGTTTCTTTTTAATCACTTGTGTATTGCATGTAATCATCCAAGTCTTCATACATTCAAAATGTTCTTGTGATTTTGCATGTGATAATTACTTACAGCGAGGTAGGCGGAATCCCTCTCAATAGCATCAGCCAACTTGTTAAGCAGCAGGCCACGATGAGAGGCATCCATTCGGCGCCATGGAGAGCCCAACCTGAAGGCATCCCGTGCTGCCTTCACTGCTTTGTCTACATCTACCTAGAAACGTAAAATCAGAATCAGAATAAGCTTTATTATCATTGTACCGGAATACAGAGAAATTATGTTTGTACAGTCGTCCGAAAGATGAAGGGAGTGCACGTTGCTGCTGAGAAGTACGGCCCCTATTCTTTATCAGAATAATTTTAAATAGAAAAAGGGAAGAACCACGAGGATGGATAGTGGTATTCATAGTGGTATTACAAAAAAAAACTTCACATCTTGTCCTATCAAGACACGATTTGAGACATCAACAAACTCTACCAGCAAGCACATTCAAAAACATGATTACATATGCATTTGATGTCAAGGTGTTGAGATTTGTCCATGGTCGTTTTTAAGATAGGCCACAGTTCTGATGATGTTGTTTCAGCCGGCAGTTCTGATAAACCTGCACTGAAGTTCTCGGTGGTGGTGGTGATGGTGGGGCTACAGATGAAGCTTTTGTCCCTAGTTACCCGTGACCCAGGAAAAATTTGATAGTCGGCCTATATCCGAGGCCAAACTAGTGAGTCAGATAAGCCTCGATTGTTGATTTTCTTAAGGTAGACAACTTTTTTTTCCTCATCAGCCTCGAGTCTTTCTGGAACTTTCTGGTTCAAAATGGTCTGACTTATGGGAATCCATTTCACTGATCCGTGTTACTCAATTCAATTCAATTCAAAAATACTTTATTAATCCCAGAGGGAAATTATTTGTTGTTGTAACTCATCCTCATTTCATTAAGAGATGTTATAAATACTGATGCTGTAGACAGGAAGGATCTCTTGTAAAGGTACATCCCACAGTGGATCCTAAGAAACTGGCTGCAGATGTCGTCTGATCCGTCCACCCAGACTCAGCTGGCCTCTCGGTTCCCCCGGGCTGTAGGACCACCTGAATGCTGGGAAGAACTCCTCCCAGAGCGATGGCCACTCCTCCCAGCAGCCTGCCGAGCTCCTCGTTGCTGCGGACAGCCAACTGTAGGTACAGAGGGACGATCCTGTCCTTCTTCTGTCATGAGCCGTGTTTCCTGCCAGTTCCAGGATCTCAGCAGTCAGGTACTCGAGCACAGCTGGCAGGTAGATGAGAATGCATCCACAGAACATCCTTTTCAACTCATTTGAGATTTGGGGCTGTAGTTGAGATATTATTTGAGCTTTTGAGATGTTAATCAGCTGCTGTTGTTGTAGAAAACTGCATTGTTGCCATGGTTACGCATCATAACAAATGTCCAAAACTAAAAAAGTTTCAGTAAAAATCCTTCCAGCTGCACAGCATCTGATACCAGAAGAAACAATCATCCAAAAAATGTGATTTACATCCAGAAAAAGAGGAATTAAAGTTTCCAAAAGCAAAATCTCAGAATGAAAGTAACAGAGCAGCTCCAACATGCAGCCACCTTGAGCGGCGCAATTCTAGAACAGAGCCTCCTTCAATGTCAATTCCACATTGGTAAGTCCCAGAAGCCGCAGGTGGCCTGCGATTTTCAGAAATAGCCTCCATCTTACAGTTTAGCTTGAAATCAGATGATTTTGAGTACTCATAGCATGAACCAAACCTTCATACAGACTCGGAAGCTTTGTCATGGCGGAAATTGATGCCAATGTCTTCTTGAAAAGTCAATAAAACAGAGCCCCGCTGATCACAAAAAGCAGAGTCCCTGCTATCATAAATCCAAATATATAAACGTCTTCAGAGACCTGAGAGGCACATCACCTGCCACACTCCCCACGGATCCATGACATAGCCCACAGCGTGAGTCTCAGCTGAACAAGCGGATTCTCCAGGACCCTGTCATTTTGATGAAAAATACATGTATATATATATATATATATATATATATATATATATATATATATA